AGCTGCCCGTCCACTACACTGGCCTCCTCTCCCCTCTCCCCCTCCCCCACAGGCCCCACAGACTTGGTCAGCTTCTGTCCAGCCAAGATTTATCTTTCTTCTTTCCCTGCCCTCCTTTTCCTGGCCCCCTCCCCAGTTCCTCCAGCTGCCCCTCAATCTTGGGCCTGGTCTCCTTCAGTTCCTAGTGACCCACTGTCTCATCATGGGCATCCCAAAAGGGGGGTCAGGGTGCCACAGGAGAGGGGTCAGGGCTGGGCTGGGGGGTAGTGGGGGCAGGGCCCAGTGGTGGGACGCTAACCTTTTTAAGTCGCTTCAGATCACGTCTGGGCCTCCCCACCCCCCTTCTCTGGGACTCTCATTAACCGTTTCTCCTGCCTCGTCCGCAGCATAAATAACCCAGATAAATCAGCCGCGGTCCGCCCCCCGCCCCTCAGCCCCCGCACAGCCCGTTTGTCACCGCTGCTTGCTCACCAGTCAGGCTTGGCCCAGTCCTGGCCTCCGCCCCCCAGCGTTGTCCCTTCCCGCCCACATCTGTCCCACACTGGCTCATCCCTTGGTCCACACCAGAGCCAGATCTGGACAGGTGTCTGGGCTGTCGAGGGCGGGAAGGGGGTGTCCTTTGGGACCAGGAGAAGGCTGGGGACTCTCTCTCTAGGAGAATGCTCTCTAGGAGCTTGGGGGTCATGCCATTTATGAATGGTGCCACCCAGACAAGGAGTTGGGGCCACACGTGGTGGGAAGGGGCAAATGCAGCTCAGCTTGGGGGCCCCTGTGCTGGGAGAAGAGGTAGAACCTCAGGAGCGCTGATGCAGGAAGGGCTTGGAGGTGCCCTTGAAGCCCCCCCAAGCTGCATCCTGGGAGGCCTCCAGGTTTGCCTTTGGGGCATTTTGCCCAAATAAAACCTCCTGCCTGCTCCCAGCTGTCACCTCCCTCCCCCTGCCCCCATTCCCAGTACAAATGCCACTCTAATCTCACCTCTCAGTCCATCCACCACCTTTCTCAGTCATCTCTGGGGGGTGGGGGAGTGGAGAATTGGGCTGGGAACAAATCTGGGGAATGGGGACAACAGGAAGACAGAGGACACCTGGCTAAGGCTTCACAGCCAGACCCTGCAGCCATCCCACCCCCACCCCATGGCCCCCAGTACCAGGTTCCCACACTCACAACTTGAGTCCCCGACAGCCTTTTCCATTTTGATCACACCCAGTTCGGGTTCTGGCCGGCAACACTTGGCCCTGATGCTCACTGCAGGGGGCAGCTGGTCCCCTGGGAGTGGGTGAGGGAAGCAGGGAGGGGATGGGAGAGCTTGGGCGCTGGGCTGGGGGTGGGGGTGGGGAAGAAGCTGGGCTGGGCCCCAGGGACCAGCTGGGCAATGAGCCGGGGAAGCAGCCAGGAGGCTAAATGAGGGAGATTATCACCCAACTGCAGCCGGGCAGAGAGGGAGGCAGGCACGGAAGCGGGGAGAGGGAGGGGAGAAAGGACGGGGGCCAGAGGGAAGAAGGGTGTTGGGGGCCAGGGGGAGAAACCGGAGACACAGGAGTTGGGGGAAGACCAAAGGATGGGCTGAAAGGATGTGGGGGATGGCTCCCGCTGAGCGTAACCTGATTCTTGGGAGTCTGGATGATGGGGATTTGGGGACAATTGGAGATGGCTGTCTGTGGGGGGGTGGGGGTGGGAGCCCTGCCACTTTCCCGTGGCCTGGAGCTACCCCTCCTCCCCCCACACCAGGTTACCACCCAACTTCATTCCCTCTAGAGGTTGACGGCTTCCTGCCAGCCCCTCAGGAGGAAGAGGGTGTGCTTTAGGCTCCTGATGGAGCCAACGTGTTGTGGGGAGTGTGACTGTGATGTCAATGGCTGGCAGGGCAATTTAGGGATGTGCACTGATTCCGGGGCAGCAAGGAGCACTGGGGAAAGCTTGGGGGTAGCTCCCCGCTTTCTTGGCTGAGCCCCAGACTGAAGTAACCTTAAAAAAGCAATTAAACCACCTTTTAAAAAAAAACACCCAGTAAAGAAAAATCAATACT